CTCATTGAGCCCTTCTCTTCTCCAGGCTGAAGAATTCCAACTCCCTCAGCTTCTTTTCATAGTGGAGGTGCTCCAGCCCTCTGACTGTCCTCATGGCCTCTTCTGGTGTCTTTCCAACACATCTGTCTTCTGCTGGGGGCTGTGATAAGCTGGGAAAGTCCCTGCATGGTATGGAGAAGGAGCCCTCTCCCACAAATCGTTTCAGAGCTCCACATTAAGGTTTCCAGCCCCCCAGAACGGGGCAGACTTAAGGTGATTGGGATGCTTTATAGTCCCCTCTTCCTTTAACCTTCGTTCCCAATGGCTGGAAGTCACAGGACAGGAAGGAACATCTGATGTTCAGATGGATGGTGGAATGACTAAAACTGGTCATTTCTGCACAAGGGCAAACCAAGGGGCGGGGAGAGCTTTTCTCTGCCAGAAGAGTATTTTAAGGCAAATGCATCAAAGTGTTATTGAACTGGGACACAAAAGCTGCAGGCAGGGGCTTAGGAGCTCAGTCCAGCCCCTCTGAAGGGCTGGACCAGGCCCAAAGGAGCCAGGCTCTGACCTAGATGCTGCAAACCCCGCGGGCTCCCAGCACGGCTTTGCAGGGGTATCATCTGTCACATCTCCAGTTCAGAAAGATCCCCAAAGCATGAGAATCTGCAATATTGGCTGAAAAACCAATGCATCACGCAGAAAAGCAAAAATTGTGAAGTCTCCTTGGCCACAGAGTGGAGCAGAAAGGACTTTCTCCCAGAGAGGGTGAAAACTCAATGACAACCATTCCTATTTCCCTTCACGACCTCAAGAAGTCACCCCTATGTTGAAGAGGTGCTTCCTACACTGTAATCAAATTTAGTAGGAATAAGCTATGGATGAAAATTCTCCATGGCGTGAAAGGGAGAGCTCAGAGCAGGTAAAGGGTTAATGAGGCCAGACAAATGCTCGACTGGTGAAAAACGTAGCTTCCATGAAGCCACTGGATCTGTGTCCATTTTCTGCAGAGCCCAGAGCCTGGCCCTTTCTCCCTGGGTAATCAACTGGAAGCGAGCAGAGCGGAGCAATCACCGCCCCCATTCCCCACCCGTGACACTGCCCGCAGGGCTGGGAGATGCAGGAGCACCATCCGCCTGGAGCAGGTCAGCACAAGCCACTGCCACGGCTTTGTGCCCCACAGGCCCTCAGAAGAGCAGGTGAAGGTGAAGGCATGAAGACACAAGCAAGTAAACGGTGCCCAAGTGTGCCCTGCACCACCACGGCACGAGCAGAGGACAAAAAAACACCTCTGGGTGGGCTGAGGAGGCTTCTCTGTGGACAGGGTTTCACCTCTGGACATCTGCAGAGAAAGGACAACTCTGGAGATTAGTGAGGAGGAAGAGAGAGAGAGCGCCTGATCCCAGCCTTCAAGCACAGCTGCATCCTTCTCCTTCTCTCTGCATTAACCTGATGCTGCCCTGCTTGGAGAAAGCATTAGGAGAAGAATCTTGGCATCTCTGGACAGCCAAAAATATCCAATAATTAATGCACAAGCGTGAGCAGATTTAGAGGATGCACCCGTTCTTCGTATCGTCACACCCCAGCACGAATACTGTCTAAATTCCTCTTGGGATCAGAGCCAAAGCCTTTCTTAAAGCATGGATGCTTTGTTATTAATCCGCGCAGCAACCAGGAAAGGGAGAGATGGATTCATTTTTTTGAGGCATAATCGAAGACAAAAAATTATCTCAGCTGAGCGTCATCTGCTTCATAGCTGGTCTGGTCCCACATCAGGAAGATGGTGAGACCTGCTTGGCTAACACAGCCCTTCCCAAAGGAGACACCAGGACAGGGTGTCTGGACCACAGAGTCCTGGCCTCCCACACTGGCAGATGCTAAGACTTCCTTATATCGCAGCCAAGCACCTTGCAAGAGAGGCGATGTGCTCTAATTCACACTCTCCTACTCTCCTCTGATGTGACACAGTTGCAGAGCCTCTAGACAAACCTCTTAAGTGAAACTGAATGAATTCACACCCCAGCACCAACACTGCCCTCAGTTTAAATCGCTTTTCTGCCTGCCTGGAGTTCACCCCTTGGATATATTTGGAGTCAGCAAGCACATCCTCTCCCTGCCTTTGTTTCGCAGGGCTTGGCTTTTATAGCCTCGTATAATAGCTCTCCATCCCTCTGAGCAGCTTCAGAGCCCTTTTCCCTGCACCTGCTCCAGGCTGAGTTAATCCCTCTCAAGCACCAGATCGAAGAGCCTGGTCCTTCCACATTAACTCTTCCCTACCCATGTCCCACAAACACCCTTTGCCTATTTCCCTTCACCTTTTTGCAATGCTCCTGGGGGCATCCGGGACCAAAGCAGCCCTGAACCCCCAGTTTCAGCTATCCCAATATGATTCAATCTCTAAACATAGCACAAAGTCCAGACACAGCGCTCCCCACTGTCCAGGCTGGTATACAACTTAGGGGACAGCCCCATAGCCTGAAACCCCTCCTCGAGGTCAGCTGTTGCCCTCTGGCTGAGCACCTCATCCACCTCTCAGCTTGGTTTCACAGGCAAATCCCAGCATGAAAAATGAGAATGAGCTCAGATCCTCCCTTAAAGGCTTTAAGCAGATTTAAGCTCTGCTGCATGGGCTTAATCTGTCCAGCAGTGCCCTTTGTCACCTCCCCCAGCCCTCCCCGGCAGAAATCTTCTCCACTGACATACTCCCACGTGCACCATGTAAACTGCCAGCACACCCAGGTAAAGGAGCATCTCCTTCCCCTAAAAACGAGAGCACAACTACAAGTCAGTCCCCTTCAGTAATAGTTCTGGGTTTCCATCTCCCCCCACCTCAGAGGCTTGAGATTACCCACAGCAGTTGTCCATCACCAGCTGAAAGCTCCCTTGAACAGAAAATGCCATGGTGGACACAGCAGCTGGGCAGGGATTTTCCCGGGCTTGTGGCCATGCCAAAGCCACACCTAAGTAATTTCATACAGGGACTGGGGTGCTGATGACAGGGAGCAGGGTAGGCTTGAGTCTGCCACAAACCTGAGTGCCTTGGTCACATCACTTTGCCCCTATTTCATGTGCCACTGCTTTGCAGATGGCATTACGCCTTCTGCATGTCATCATGGTGTCCCTCACAACACGACAAAGGGACTTGATTTCTACTCTGAGCAGGGCCTGCTAGAGCAAGCCCTGCTGGCTTCCTCAAAACCTGCTTTTCCTTTCGCTCATGACTTGATCCTTAATTCTGGTGCCAACAAGAAAGTTATTCCCAACCAGTTCCAGCACATGGCTGCTGGCAAGCACCAGCCACCGAGCGAGCCAGCCCCCATGCACGCAGCAGCACCTGTACACATGCACCCATTGCAGGAGGGGTTCAGACCTCACATCCCACTCCTAAGGGTAGAGAAAGGGCTTCTGAAACAGCATCTCTCACCCCCTCTTGGGTTTTATAACCTCACTGCCTGGGTCATGGGTTGGAGCTGAGCCCCAGGTGATTCACATGAAAGAATTGCTTAAATAAGCAGGAGGCAGCTGATGTTCCTGGGAAGAGCAGGGGAAACAGAACCTACTGGGACAGATGTGCCTGTAGCAATATGTTGCACCAAGCAGGAGTAAGTGGTAAGCACTTGCATCAGGCTCTGCACCTCCATCCATTCCTGACTCTGCTGCTTTTCCCTGCCCTAGTTCTTGCTGCCCCAATGATGCTGCCAACAGGTGATACCTGCTCTCACCTGTATCCCGAAATTTGTTCCTCCTCAATTCACTGCTACCCTGAGCAGCAGGGCCAGCCAGGCTCCCTGCACCTTGGGCTACCCACTTTCCATGTGCAGAGCAAAGGGTGAGACACGCAGCTCCAGGGACCCTGTGTTGCCTTCCCTCCTGTATAACAGCATGCTTGGAACCCAGGCTGACCCTGGCAGGCAGATCCCCCGAAGATACGAGATGGGATGGAGATAAAAGGTGCCCTGGGGAAAGCCTGCAGCATGGTCCTTGATGGATGCAGAAGATAAGCAGCTGAGGATTTAAGAGCATTCTCCACCACACACTGAGCTCCCTGCTCTGCTTCCATTTGCCGTGGCTGCACTCCCCACCAGGCTCAGAGCTAACACGGCATCCAGGCAGAAATGGTAACTGGAGATAAATAACTGGTAATATAGCCAAGCATGACACAGGCTGGATCTGCAGAGCCAGGCGTGCAGCCCACGCTCACCTGCAGCTAGCACAGTGGGAGGTGAGGGATAGAAGACCGGAGCCACATCCAGTGGGACACCCTCTGCTAGAAAGCACCAAGCTGGTGTCTCAAGCTCAAAATAACATTTTTCAGGGAAGGGAGGAAAGATTGGGATTTGGGAAATCCAGACTCATATCACTGCTTGGAAACGCCAAAAGCCGTCAGTCTCCTGCACCCTAGCAGCAAGTTTGCTTTTCTTGAGAACAGGAGCTCGCTCTTGCCTTAACTTTCCAGGAGACTTTCTAAAAGCCCCTGCGTTCGTCCCAAAAAAATGGAACAAAGAACAATACCGAAACCTCAGGATTTTTTCTCAGCGCAGAAATCCTGCTGCTCTCCAGCCAGCGCCCAGGCCTCGGTGCTCAAAGTTTCAGTCCAGCCTGGCTCCACAAGCTGAAGTGGGGGGAAGCTGAACTGGGGGGAAGCTGTGGGCATGCAACTTTCCTATGCACCACGCCGAGTACCCCGACTTCAGCACCCCCAAAGGCCAGCGCTCACAGCAGCGCTTGTTGAAGGCAAGGGCTGCAGCGCGCTCCGCGCAGGGGAGGAGCAGGGTGCCTGCTTCGGGCTTGTTTTCCCCAAAAACCCTTTACGCACATACACGCTGACATACAAACACACAGTGCCCCCCAGCCCGGAATGCAGCTGCTACCCGGTTCCCAAAGCCACAGGTGCCCCCGAGCATCCCCCGAGGACGCGGCGGGACCCCCGGGCGGGGCGCGGAGCCGTCCCCCCGCGGAGAGAGCAGCGGCGGGGGCTGCAGGGACGAGCCACCCCCTCCCGGGCCCGGGGGTCGCCTTACCTGCCCGGGGCTGGCGCGGGTCCCGCTGCCGGTGCCGCCGCTCCGGGCGCGCCGCCGCCCGCAGCGCTTCGCCTCCCGCAAGCACCGCCCCGACGGGCGGGCCCCGACCGCGCCTGCGCCCGGCACCGCGCCGGGGAACCGGCACCGGGACAGCGGCACCGGGACACGCCACGGAACCGGCACCGGGACTGCGAATGGCACCCGGGATGAGGAGCGGCACCCGGAATGGGAACCGGCGCTGCGATCGGGAATGGGAACCGGGAACGGGATCGGGACAGCGAACCGGCACCGGGAACTCTCACTGGGAGTGGGAAGAGGCACCGGAAACCGGCACTTCCCACTGCTGGGAACTGTGGTCACTACTAGGAGTGGGGACTGGCACTACCCGTTAGTGGGAAATGGGAACGGCGCCAGCTGGCGCCGGTCCAGGAGTTGGGGACCAGTGTGGTGGACTGGGATCGGGGATCCAGGTCCAACATTGCCCGGGCACCAGGACCTGGGATCATCCAGGAAATGGGCCCATCATTGGGAACAGGAGCTGGCACCGTTCTGGGGAGGGAATAGGAATGGGGAGCTGGGGCTACCAGCAGCACCAGCTGGAAGCTGGAACTGGGACCAGCACCTGCATACCTGGACACTGGCACTAGCCACTGGGACCTTCCAGGCACTGGCACTTGGCCCAGCATTGCCCTGGCACTGGATAGCAGGACAAGGTCCCACTGGCACTGCCTGGGACCTTGCCCTGACACTGGGAACTGGACAAGCTGAAGCACCATGCACCACCACCAGCTGGGCACTGGGACACCAGGGAGCTGGGAGGCATTGGGACATAACCCATGGAGGGTGCAGGGGAGAGTCATCAGAGGGTGCAGGATTTGGGTGCAAAGGGCACATCCCCTGTAAGGCATGATTACAGAGATGTGTTTTCAGCCCAATATCAAAGTTAATCCCCTTTTCTCTTTTGTAAGAGGGAAGATGAGGCACTGGGAGGGGAGGAATCAAAGGCTGGGCATGCACTTGGCCCACCTGCACATCCATGGAGGTTGGTGTGCAACGGGCATCATGGGGCTGGTGATGGGCCAAGGTGTCCAGACTGGTGGAAAGCTTTCTCAGCTCACAAAAAGACATTCAAGAGGGGAAAACCAAACAAGAGCCACGCAAAAGCGCATCCCCCTGGGTGGGAAGGAGCCAGTGAGGTTTTACAGACCCTCTGTCAGGGGCAGCTCTGATCTGCTGCGCTGACTTGACACACAAGCCTTATTGGTAGTGTTCATGGTTGATCATAATTTAAGCCAAAATAGATGGCAAGGAAAGAGCAATTAAAGAAAACATTTGGAAGTGACAAGAATAAACTTCTCACGTTTAAAGTCATGGGTGGCCAGACTCTTCTAGACAACAAAAAAAACAGGGTTAGCTGCTGCCTGCCAGTGGCAGTGTGAATGCTTAAGGACATCTGCTTGCCATATTAGCGGTAATGCAGTGAAATTTTGGTGATAAAATCAGAAAGGAGGCCGTGCCCAGAGCAGCACTGGCTGGCACAGGCTTCTGTTCCCATCGAGGTGTCACCAGCAGCTGTATGTGATCACCACAAATCACATGAGTGATTCACCTCTAGGACCAGCCATTTCCTCCAATTTCGTATTATCTGAAACCCTCCTGAACTTTTTATATTAAAGTATTTTCCTGTTAGTTTTGTAATTTCATTACTTATTCAGTTCGTGCAATATTTGTACTACAATTATTTCAATTCATTTATTGGTTAAATGAATAGGAAAGCCAAAACTCTGTAGTTCCACAAAGGCTTTGTTTGGCAGCAAAAGCTGTTTTCTAACGTTTTCCTTCTCTTTGCTTATTTTCCCCTCTCCCCCACAGATCTCAGGGCTGCTCAAAACCAGGTGTTTCATACACCTCTGCTCTGTCCCCTCATTAAAATCACCCAAGAAAATAACCCTAACCCCTGCTGTATTTAGGTCTCAAGTCTGTCCATGTGCAGTGCTGAACCATTATCCTTCCATGGTGGGAACCTCCTGCAGCAAAAGGCAAAGACCAAAATAAAAGACAAACCCTCAGTTTACAAAGATTTTTAAGGGGTTAGAGTAGACCCTAAACAGGTCTCCAACCCCAGAATCCCCTTAATAGCCTTAAAACCAGCTGCGAGGCAGACTAGGGCACGGATGGAAGGTGCTGCTGCTGCCCGCTGGGAGGGCAAGGAGAGCATAGAGCCTCTTTTGATTTGTGTTTTAATCGAGAGACGCTCCATCAGGTGTAAATTAATTAATATGGTCATCCACCCTTCCTCTCACCAGTAGAGGTACTTCTTGCCCAGTTAGCGAGTGTGGGCTTGCTTTAATAGAAAGTAATTTCCTACTGAGCTGTTTCACCAATTTGACCCCAAAGCTGCTAAAGGGGAGGATCTCACTGCGGGGATCACGGGGATAGAGGGGCACAGGGTGGAGTTTGTCACCCACAGGGGTGATGCGTGTTGCTGTGCAGAGCTGGATGAAAGGATTAAAAAGAGGAAAAAGGAAAAGAGAAAAAGGACTCACCCTTGAGACAAATCAACAGCAGGAGCCTGGCTTTTATTTTGTTAGCAGGCTGGAAAGCACTAGGGAAAAGCTGGAAAACATTAGGGAGAAGCTCTTCCACTGCATTTAAGCAGCAAGTGGGTCCCCTGACATTCCTCTTGCCCCACAGGGAAGTGGAGCCCCAGCCTGCACTCGTGGCAAGCCCAGATCTTTCTGATTAACTTAGTTGCGTTTTCGATTTCAGCCTCAGCGGGGGAAGAAGAATTATGTAAATACAATTTATAACGACACTTCACGTGTCCTCAGGGTCACGCAAATGAAGCCACAGTGACAGGGCTGACATGGAGGCTGTGCAGGGGAAAGGAAGAAATAATGATGCTTTAAAACCAGACCCCAAAAATAAGTAGGAATAAAGTAAAAGGCAAAGTGGATGAGGAAAGCTGCAGTCAGTGATTCCTCCAACAAAAAGAATATCATAATTCACTCTGGGATTTCAAAGCAGATGACTTAGTGAGGTTTTCCTTCCTCCCAGGAATATTTGTTGTTCCTTCTCATTCAGGGAACCCCCAAGGTGAGATTTAATCCCAGGATGGTTCGAAGTGAGTGTCTGCCTGCCCAAAACAGTGGGACTTGAAGAGCTGCTCAGTCCTGCCATCCCTGCTCCTGCAAGGCCAGCTTTCCCCTCCCAGGGGCATGTTTGGGTGAGAAAAGTGAGAGAACTGCAGGTGGGTGGTTGGTGCCTGTATCCTGACTTTTATGCAATGGAGATACAGGGAGCAACCTCCAACAGCCCCATCCCCAAGGCAGGAGCTGCCTGGTGAGAGTTCTAAGCACTGGTGATCCCATCAGGTTGCAATCTGCTGCTCCTTTTTGAAGACATCACAAAGTGAGCCTCTGGTTGTCCATCTGCACTTGAATTAAACCTCATTGTTCCGAATTCTGCAAAGTTTTTCACCCCTGAATTGCAGCCTCTGGAATACCAGTAATGTATTCTCTCCTTTCCCTCTCCACATGATTGCAGCATAATCTCCTACTCACTTGATTTATTTAAGCAGGCCTTCAGATGCTCCAGTAATGGGAGTCATTTAGGTCCCTCTGCAGATATGTATTTATTTATTGCTGTTCATTTAAACTGCAGAGCCAGTTGGCAGGAGAGACACAAGACTGGGGTCACAAGGATGTTAAATTATTCGCTGTCAAAAATAGCTGGTTGAGAAAGTTAAATTAAGCAAGGTCACTCAAGGTCATAGTCAATCACCAGTAGGAGGAGATGGGCATTAATTAGCTCTTTTATTTATGGGGGTCATCGTGACCAAAGGACCAGCAGTTGTAACAAAAAGGCAAACTGTAGCAACTCCTCATATTTTTGGCAGAAGCAGCTTTTGGATGAGAAGCCGAATTGCTGCCCTTGACCACACTGGAGAAGCTGAGGCTATTGAAAGGCAAGGTTGTGATGTTCAGCAAGACCCTGTGGAGCCCTACAACGCATAAGTGGGGGACTTTCCCCTTTCAAAGCCTGTCTCAGGGCTGACCTCAGCAATGCTCCTTCCACAAAAAACCTCTGCCAGAGGCTGGGGAGGTGCTTAGCAGGGGCGAGGTCTCAGAAGGCACCTGAGATACTTGGGGATATCTTTGGTCACTCATGCAGACAGGCTCTTGCCTGAGATTTTGCCACCTCTCCTGGCAGACAGTTGTGCAGATATGCAGAAGCTGCATATCCATTCTGCTAATACTTGTATTTCATTTCCCATGTGAACTTCATCAGCACCTTCTTGCTGTTGTGGGACCTTGTAATACCCTTTTCCTCCTAGTTTAAAACTCCCTAGGGTCAGGCCTCTCCTCCCTTTCCATTCTCCTCTACCATGCACGCCAGGGACACGATTTAGTGGTGGAATGGCTGGGCTCAATGGCCTTAGAGCGCTTGCCCAACTCAAGTCTAACACCAGTTAAAGCAGGAAATTCAGCTCATAAACTAGGTAGGAATAACCTGGGGTCACTGGCAGCCAGAAGATCCTCACTATGTAGGATAGTGAGGACGACCATGCCGAGGAGAGCAGCACGAACACTACAGCCAAGTATTTAATGGCAGCAATGACATCTCTACCCAAAGATCCGTATTGTAACCATTCATCATGAAAAGACCCCCTTTTTCCCAGCTTCTGCACACAATGCAAGGTGGAAACCATAAGGCCTGATGAAAGCCACCCTCTGCCCCACTGAAGTCATCAGCCACGGTTCGGGGTGCGCACGCACTGTGATCTGCACCACGGCCAGCTGGCAAACAGCTCACACTAATTGAGAACTCTGCTGGGAAATCCATACCATTAATTAATTGTCTTTATCAGCACTCACTTCTGCACAGTCACAAATCAAGCAGCTCTCTAATGGGCTGCCTGCTAGTAAAGCAACGTGGAAGGCAAACAGAAAGGAGCTCCTTGATTAGAGGAATGAAATCATGGCATCGGGGTTTGTACTGCAGGAGAGAGTTGATGCTGCACCTGAGATCAGGGTGGGAGCTGTGGCCCTGAGAGATGCTGAGAGTGGGCT